CTAACATCATCATGCTGACAAAGTGAAAGGTCAGCTCTGTAGAAGCAGCGGAGGGTCTGGAGACCCCCCACATGATCATTAATGATCAGCATGACCGACGCTTCATGGGAAATCAATTAAGGACTTTGAATAAAACACGAAGGAGAAGCGTAAACATCACCATGCACTCATCAGAGGTGAGTAAGAAAACATTTGAACAGCTTTCATCTTTTCCTTTCAGATACTGCGCTCTGTAATCTTCTTGGCATTTGTCCGTACAAGATGTCCCCTGGGTGCATGTGGACAAACGATGTTTTGCAGAATGACATGCAACATGGATCACATGACCGCGGTCGTATTCTGGCAAAGAAGAATGGACTTTGAAGAGCAAAAAAAAAAAAAAAACCCAAAACAATGGCCCATTTGTCCTCCTCAGCATCTTCAACGCAAATGTGACTTCTGACAGGACAAATTGTCTCCATCAAATTCACAGTATTTACGGCGACCCGACTCACTGCATCAGCAGGTTTCAGACAGTCTGCTGGTAACTGTGGCGCACACAGACAAGTCTAGTCCTCGGCCTGGAGAGCAGAGTTGTAAACTACACTAACACAGTGACCTATAAATGTATAAGATCTACAGCTGACATTTAATAACTTCCTGTAGAAGAATGTCTCCTTACCTTACTGCACTGGCTCCGTGTGCGAGGATATCTCTGGGTGTGTGGCTGTTCCACCTGCCTGCTGTCACTGAGGATCTAGGGCATTTAGCGGAGTCAGGTGTCAGAGGCAGGGAAGGCTGCCTGTGTGTGTGTGTGTGTGTTTGTGTGAGAATGCTAGTGTACATAAGAATGGCAGAGCAAGTGTTCCATTATATTATAATTTGACTGAAATTTTAATTTCTCCCTGAAGGTGTCGACGTGTGCGGTGGACTGTGGACTGAGGCTGCAGCAGATGTGTGTCGGAGGGGAGCACCTATAAAGTTTGAGGGGCAGAGGTGTGTCGGTGGGCTTTAAGGGTAGCGTGCGTACAGAGTGAAGCAGGATGGGCGTTCTCCTGTGTCTGTTGGTGCTGCTGTGCTCAGAGGCACAAAGTGACACGTTGTTTCCCCGCCAGATAGCCGGCGCAGGAGAACAGAGTGGCATTCATCATTTCAAATGGCCCATGCACACAAAGCCACACATTGTCAATAACAGTAACCGTGAACGCACATATATGATCATAACGGCCTGTAACGTGACAAACCGCAACTGCTCTTTAACATCACTGACATTAATGTCCTCATTTCTGTCCACGGAGGCCGTGACCTCCACCCAAAACAATGATGTTTATTTCATATTTCACATGAATCTCATCTGGGATCCTAACAGCTGTGTGGACAACCACAGCATTAAAGCAAAAAAAAAAAAAAATGAGGCCAGACCCCCATTTCCCAGTGTTGGCAGCATCACACTGCAGTCTCAGAGAGATATGGTAATGATGGGGGATTTACCACCAACCTGGATGCTGCCTATATTATAGCAGTGTGGCACTTCAAAGACCGGCTGCTTTCTGACAGAAATAAAAACCTCTAGTGGAGCACCATGAATGTGCTTAAACACAGAGCCACAGCAGAGTCTTTCCTCAGACACCCTCAACAGGACAGGGCAGGAACAGACAGTGTGGCAAAACACTCCAAACCTACCATGTACATGTATCTGTGTATGGATCTCAGCACAATCATGATTTAGATTGGCTCGGATCAATTGCCCGTTTGTGAGCAAATTATTTTACACAACAAGCTGCCTTCATGGCAGAGTTACTATTGTAATACTGCTCACATCGAGAGGTACCACATGAGTGGATGTAAATGACAGGAGGCATTTACATCCATTCATGATCACGACAAGTGTCATGTCCAGGTAATGCTGATGTCATGACCTGTCCACGCTGGTCACTCCTAAAGATATCAGCATCCTTCAACATCAGTAAAATAATAACATGAAATAATTACTGCTTTGCTCTGAAACATGTCAAATCTCATTAGAATTACAACCTGTTCCACAGGAAGTAGATCTCTTTAGAAAAACAATCACCGTTATCTGTTAAATGAACAACATTTTCATCTTTAGATGATTTAAAAACTTCCAAATGTAATAAAGATTTTCAACATCTGACCTCTTCATCTACATGTTACGGTACTGTATAGTTCCAGGGTTATATACAGTTGCTGTCGTGACTATGTTTATGTATTGTTTTGATTGTTCTGCATTAGGATAAAGTCTAATCAGTTCTTATTCTTCCTTGTGTGATTTAAATCAAATCTATATTTTGTAATATTTTCAACCCGGATTAAAGGACATCTTTAATGCATCAATATTTACATATAAATGGCATGCTCCAACTGGATATTGTGAATTACTGAAATTATTTGGCAATATAGTACAGGATATTTCTGCAATGTTATGTATATTATATTAGGTGCTAAATCTTGATTTACCTATTGGACCCAAAGAGGTTAGAACCAGTGATTCCTGCACACCTCATAAAGACAGTCATTTTAAAAAAATTTGTTCTTTAAACAACAATCCAACTTTGGCAAAATTAGCTTTTTTTCTTAGTATTTACAACTGTAAAAACTTCAATTTGTCAGATTGTGATTATTGTTTTCATTTCACTGTTCACGCTGCATGGGTCACATGGTGCTGCCTTGATATTTATGGTGAGATAATACTGAAATACCGCTGCTAATGCTAACGCCTGATGATAAAACCTCAGCTTATACATAAAACATTTTTTCCTGAATAAAGGACGGTGATGATGAAGTCTTCATCCTGTTTCATTTCCTGTCCGAGTCTCAGGCCACACACAGGCCTGGGTGGCATGCCGTGGCTTAATATCCCATCATTACAGCATTAGCTCGACCATTTATTATTCATAGCTCACAGATGATACTACAGCAAAAAAAGGAGAGAGCAGTTTACTCACACCAGTTTACACACACTACTGTACAGTACAGCTGCGGTCCAGCCACCGTTTAGTCCTCATTATGTCTCATCTCAGAACTGCACGGACGCTAACATTGGTGCAGCACTGATTTAAGTTGAATGACCCATGAAAAAAAAAGAAAAGAAAATATATATAATCTAGTGCTGCACATTCAGGCCCACGACACACACACACACTCCACGGTCTACAGCCTGTGTGCATGGTTTCACAGCTGACATTTGACTGAGCTGTGTTCTGTCAGCAGCTCCAGTGAAAGATGACATCAACACAGACCTGAAGGCACGAGATCAATGCGTAACGGTTAATGGCAGATAATCTGCTGCCGCTGCCGTAACGGGGATTACAGTCTATTATTACAGTCTATTAAACGCAGCCTAAAAGACGAAAGGAGAACAAAGACGGGCTCTGTGTCTCCTCTCACACACCTCCACGAAAGAAGGTGAATTGTGTTCTTGATCAGATTATTTTGAATTTAAAAATAATAATAATAAAAAGAAATACAAATGTCTATTGACATCGGAATTTTCGCATTTCAATTCGGTTCAAAGCCCAAGCTCATTTTACACACGGATCCCCCGCCCCACCACCCCACACACACACACTTGCCTGTGTAGGATGAAGCAGCAGACGATGTGAGCAGGTCAATGAAGACCGTGAGGTGTGATACAGTGACAAGGTCATGCTGGTGAAAACGGACAACAATCATGGAAAAGAGAAGCAGTGAGAAAGAGAGGGGAAGGGTGAGGGAAGGGGAAAAAAAGAGCGACCTGCACCTTTTTGATGAAACGCAAGTCCTCTTGAGAAGAGCTCAGCTCCGACTGCTTCCACCCTTTTGTGTTGCTGATGCTGCGGGTGCACGACGGGGAGACGCATGCACCGAGCGCCAGCCTCGCACAGCTGCACGCGTGCGAGATGGAGACCTGAGGAAGGGAGGGAGGAGAGAGAGACAGTGAGAGAGATGGGAGGGTGTGGCTGGAGAAGAACAGTGAGAGGAGGCGGAGGAGCGTCCTGCAACCGAGCAGCAGCGGCGGCGGCAGCGGCAGCAGAAGCAGCGTGCCTTCTGGAACCGTAAAACACTGATAGAGAGAGTGTAGCCGGAAGACGACAACGCCACTGCCCTGGCAGTGATTTTTATTCTTTTATACACCTGCCCAGATAAATGGTTGATGGCTGCAGAGCTCTGCCCTCATGCTAGCAGTCACTATTACTGACCAATCATATTTACCTGACTTATTTTCCCATTTTGCTTTTCTTCTCTTTTTCCTACGGATGTGATTATAATTTACAAATAGTTGGCTTATTTTCTGTAAAGAAGATCTTGGATTGATGTTATAATTGGAAAAGTCAAATAACCTTTTAAGACACATTTAACAGGTATCTCCAACTTTTTATTGTTGTTATTAAATAATAGGCATTGTGTACAAAATCACAGAATCAATACACCCAGAGTGAAGTATGAACTAACACCATACGTAACTCCCCTCCACTAAACTAAAACCATGACTGTTTTATTAAAATGTTAATGTTTTATGTTAAATGTGCAGTCGTCTTCCTCTGGCATTTGTTGCCAACTATTAAACATTTCTGTTCAACTAGGGCATTAAAAGGACCAAACATTGAACACGTTATTACGTAGACAGCAACTTCAGAACCCATTTTATTATTAGTTATTATTATTGTTATTAGTTATTTTATTAATAGTCTTCAATATTTATGTTTTAATCTTATAAACATATCGATTTTTATCAATCAAATTATGTGTTTTGTCCGTCAATCTTATTATTATTTTTAAATAAAGTTTTCCCTAACCCCCATTTACTTCTTCCTGAGGTTGGGACTCAGCCTAGTGAAATAATATGAGGGTTTATTTTGAAGATTTCAACCGGAAGTATTCTAGACATTCCGCCTAATTTAAGTATCTGAAGTATTTAGTTGAAAAATATATAATGTATAAGAATATATCACCTATACAAATATACAGTATACTAATCTACAATAAAACAGTTTTTACTATGAAAAAAACTTAGAGGATTGAATTGTCTTATATTGACAGGTCGACCGGAAGTACCTGAATGACGCTGCGCAACTTTACGCAGTTTAAAAGTTAAGTATGGATACGTGGTAGAAAGCAGCGGATTTTTTTTCTTTACGTGGTTTCTTGCGTTAAACCCAGACACTAATAGGTGTCTAACAGACGACTAAGAGTCATCATGATGATTCCTCGGAAGCAGGAATACGGTATAAAGAGGAGCGGAGGAGCCCGCGGCGGTTCGGTCACACACTTGAGAACTCTGAACTCGGGCTCGGTTCGCCGCAGTTCAGCCGTGCTGCCGTCCGTACTTACGTTCCTGGTGATCGTAGCATCTGGAGGCCTGTTGCTCATGATAGAGAAAGGAATGCTCAACAGCATGGATACGCCTCCACCGAGGGGAAACGGCAGGCGTTTGGACGCCACCCGACAGAAAGGCGGTTCGGCCGCGGTGGACGTGGAGCTCCAGGTGAGCTGATGACCCTGACTCCAGACGAACTCCGCTGTTAAAAAAAAGAAAATCCAAATTCAAACGTTTCTACAGCATATAGAAAGTTGGATTAAATCACAGCTGTCCCTGCATCCGCTACCTATAGCGTGACAATAGACTCACGCGGTGTGTCTTTACGTACACGTATGATAGCAGCTAAATTAACTTTTGTAAAGTTGGTTTTAACGGATAAGGAAACTTAAATTAGTGTTTATGAAGTTAATTTGAATTCTTATGTATCAGGTAAATTCACAATATTATTTAGTCTTATTGGCCTGTGTAGTATTGTTTAGCTGGTTTGTTTAGTCTGACAAACTTCATTTGTTATTACAGTGTGGAAAGATAGATTTAGATTCAGACAACCTTTTATTCACACCAATCCCTAACTATTTGGTAGTGATTACATCAATTATTGTATTTTTATTTGTTATTAGAGACAATTTAAGGCTTTTATTGAAGATACAACATGCAAGCATTTCTTCTAAAATAGGAATCACAGCACTAAGACGGGAGGGTGTCGTGTTTCAGTAATCTGCTCCATCAGCCTTTCTCATATTTTCGTTTTTAATAAAGTGCTCTTGATGTTTCAGGGATAAAATTGATGACAAGGTTCCCCGTCTCTGGTAAATAAGTGATCATTTTTCAGTCATGGCTAATTCCTCCTCCCTACTTCTCCCTGGATTTAAGGTTAAGACAAAGGGATTAACAATACAGGTCTGATGTCATGTCTTTGCTTCCAGTCAGTGCAGTACCTCACCAGGCTACCAGCCAATCAAATTTTCAAGTCTCGGAGCAGCCAGTCCGTTTACAGTTTCCATTTGATTTTGTCACCAGATTTAGCAACTTTTTAGACTGGGTCAATTACTTAGACTAGAAAATTCCAGTCAGGAATGTTGAAGTATTATTCTCCCTTCTCAGTCCACTGTTGAAAACATAAACATGGAAGTATTGAGATACAACTGTAGAAGATATAACCTTTCAAAGAATGAGGACAGGGGATCGAGTGTTAGTGTGTGGCACGATAACTTGGTGTTATTTGTCATTTTCTGACTAACTAAAAATGTTCTAGTCTCACAAAATACTCTCAGGAAGAGTGGGACCAGTGGAAAACAGTCGGCATCATCAGTTTACCTTATAGAGCAGCTGTGATTCCCGGCCACTGTGTACTGTGAGAGATCATCAGATGTGCTGTGGCTGAGGCTGAATGAAAAGAGAAGTTTGTATGATTTTCAATGTGATGATTTTTCTCCACGTCTAGATCCTTCAGGAGATCCGGAACAGGACCATCAAGACCATGTGCAGCCAGAAGAACATGCCACACAGCATTTGGACTTTGACCCCTTTGCAGAGGAAGACGGTTCTGCAGCACATCCTGGTGAATGACGAGTACCACTTCCTCTACTGCTACGTCCCCAAAGTGGCTTGCTCCAACTGGAAGAGAGTTCTGAAGGTGCTGAACGGAGCACTGGAGAGTGTAGACGTCAGCATCAAGATGGACCACCGCAATGACCTAGTGTTTCTGTCATCTCTAAAACCTGAGGAGATACGTTACCGTCTCAAGCACTACTATAAATTCATGTTTGTGCGAGAACCCATGGAGCGACTGCTCTCTGCTTTCAGGAACAAGTTTGGAGAGATCGAGTCGTACAAAAAGAAATACGGCGTAGAGATCGTAAAGCGCTACAGGAAGGGCCACGCTAAAGACACGTCAGTAAAAGGGGATGACGTGACCTTTGCAGAATTTGTCCGTTACTTGCTGGATGAGGATGTAGAGCGTATGAACGAGCACTGGATGCCCGTGTACAACCTTTGTCAACCCTGTGCAGTGTCATACAACTTCATCGGTTCCTATGAGCACCTGGAAAGTGATGCCGAATTTGTGCTGCAACAGATCGGTGCGCCTCCTCATGTTCATTTCCCAGAAAGGCAAACGTGGTACAAGCCAGTCACCACAGAGACGTTACACTACTATCTGTGCAGTTTACCACAGAAGCTACTGAGGCAACTGCTGCCAAAGTACATTTTAGACTTTTCCCTCTTCACCTACCCTCTACCAAATACAACCACTGAACACTGTCGGCATTAGAAATGCACTGGCTGAAAGTTTTGAGTTTTTTAAATATATAAAAACCGGCTGTGTCTATGGCCATGGACAGCTGTCAGACTTTTACTTGAGATGTTCATTACAAATTTCCTTTTGTTGAAGATGTTCAGTCAGTGTCCTTTTGTGTTGTCAACTCAAAAATGTGACCAAAGGTGAATTGTTAAAGTTATAATTAGTATATAAGAATTTAAAAATCCTTTCATACTTGCAAAAAATATTCAGTAGGACACTCATTAGCCTGGGTTTAGGCCAGACTTGATTTTCAACACCACTGACTGGAATGCAGCCCCAAACTAGTACAGAGCTCTTTGTTTTACGTTTTGTTTGTTTTTTTTACATTCTTCCTTGATGCCATCTAAACTTTAGTTTTTAGAAGAAGAAAGAATTTTACATTGTTATGCACGTTTAATTGATTTAAGATGACCAATGACCTGGTATATTTTTATATTTATCTGATAGATAGATAACATTCTATTTATCTCTACATATATCTCTGTAGATGTCAGTCAGATTTTCTACAATTTGTGTTTTTGTTACATTCAACATAATTAACTTTTCCCCTCACACCAACATATACTCAACTCCAAAACCACTAAAGCTTGAGATCAGCTATAAAGAGGAAGTTAGCTAAATGGGTTACATGCACTGTTACTGTAAATTAATGGGGTCAAAGGCATTGGTGCAAATTAACTGTAAATAAGGTCAAATGACCAAGCTTTGTACTTTTCTCCCATGTCTTCATATAAACATGGGTGGAGTTTAAAGGTTAACTTCACTGGACATTCAGTGCTTTAGCAGGCTAAAACACACAAACACACACACACACCATGTCAACAAAGGGCTGTGGGGTTAAATCAGGTTTGATTCTTTTGTATGTTACAATCACAGCCTCCACACGCTTTTGTATTTACTTTGACTGTTGAATAAATTCTAGGCTTTGTGATGTAAGTCGCTGTGGTGTCTTAACCTTTGTATCACTTTATTTGTGATTGGTTTCATAATTTAGCATTGAGCAAACATAAAAAATACATTAACATTAAATGACCAGACACACGGAAGTTCAAAGTTCAGAAAAACCTTGAAACTGTCTGTCACATAATTCACTCACAAAGAATAAAACTGTTACTGTAGAGAGTATAGAGTTGATGACTGTACCAGACACTGACGAAGAGGATCCATCACAGAGCAGTTGGTTTTAGCAAACCGTTCAGTTCAGACAGTTCTAGGTTAGAAGTTGGCACTGTGGTGAATTTATTCCCTGGTTCATGAAGGATTTCACTTAATTCATAACCAGATCTAAGACTTTGAAGCACAGGCTTTAAGTGGTTTATGACTCACATGAAGACATCTTTACTCACTGACTGTAGAACCATGTCCCCGAAGACAAACTCGTTAAGTTTAACGGGCAGCAGATGTTAAAATTAGATCTGGTCTATGATGGTTTTGTTCTTTCACTGGTTTTTCAAACATCAAACAACCTCATCACATGTGTGGTGTTTTTCTGCTCATCTGCAAAGGTTTAATTGGATTAATTGTTGAGTGGTAATTAAATAAAAAAAAAACTATTTTATGTTCAACTGTCCGCTGACTTGTTGGTTGAGTGGTCAAGACTTCGCAGGACAGGGTGTTCTGAGGATATGTAACTAGGACCAGTGGAGAGGCTCAGGGGCGTTGAGGTTTGGAGTGATGAAAAAGACAAACCCTGTTTGCGCATTTCCTGGATCGCTCGTTCACTGTGGACAGAGAAAATGGAAAGAAGCCATGATGAATTGTGTTGACAATATTTTGTGACAACTGGATAAGAAAAATAGCCACACCTACTGATAGTACCTACTGTAGGTTCACATATGGTAACCCTTAAACAGTTTACCCAGTGTTGTGACAAATGTTTTCAGAACTCAGTTCAGTTTTACTCTTCTGTTGAATGGTCTAAAATGTACAGCACGTTGACAGTGTGGTGCCTCGACACCACGGTGAACATGGTTCGGTTTTTGCCCCAGCCTGTCTGGCACTTATGCAAAGTGAACATATGATATGCTAATTAGGCACTACATACCTAAAATACATGTTACCATGTGACTTATATTTGCATCAACAAGTAAGTGGGTTTACAGGGGGCTCTACTGTCTGTACATATTGTTATTTTAGATCTGCAACATTAGGCTACGTTTTTATATTTGATAATATTAGTACAAAATGATCAGAACAGTCATCCAAGGATCAAGGTCTTTCAATGGACTGCACTCTTTTTGTCCAGTTTAACATTCCTTTTTAATATTCCTTTCTCTTCAGTGCAAATGTAATTATTAATACATATTGAATTGACTTTGTGGAGCTTTGTTAGTATAGTCACAAAAATCTTAACTAATGTAATGTTTAAAGTCTGTCTGACTGCCATTTTACTGCAAGACCAATCCTCCCCTGCAGGGACACTAAAGAGATCTATATATTGGAGCAACAGCTTATAGGTCTGGAAAGTAGTTGAGCTCACCGTTCGAAACGTTCTGTGGTCAGCTGTCTTTTTAGAACGTCCATCTCAGTCTGCAGCTGGGACACTTTACCACGGAGTTGGGTCACTTCCCTCACATGCTCGGCACTAAAAGACACGCAAATTTTACTTTACATTTTTAAATCATCATTTATTTCAACTTTTACCAAATTATGTTTTTATACATGTGATCGTGATTTCTGTACATTTTGCTGTCAGCCAGGGTCAGTCGATCTCGGAGGATTTTCAGCTCGGATTCTCTCTCGCTGGCTGTTAAATGAGTGTGGAACTCCTTCTGCCGATTGGTGGACAGCAGTGTTTCAAGATTGCGCACAGTCAGCTTCTCACTCGCCAGCTGCTTCTTAAGTAGCTCCATCTCTGACCGAACATCCTCCAGCTCTCCTGTCATCTAAGAAAAGGAAGGTGACGATTAATCTACAGTGAAAGCAACATTTTCTAGTTATCATACAGGGTTTCAGTGTTGTGTAGGATTTGCCCAATGTGAATGAGGTACTGTTAAAAATATTAAGCGAAATAGAAGACAATGCTGGAAACATTCTTAACTGGATACTTTGCCTTATGAAAAGAATCAACCTGACGATCGGTGAGAGCAGAACTCACCCTCTCCAAGTCCATACTTCTGGAGGTGAGCTGACGTACAGTGAGCTCCTTGTCAGAGTCCAGTTTGACACACAGCTCCCTGACAGAAGCCACATCTGCCTGAAGACTTGCCTTCTCCTCCTGGGCTCTTTTCAACTTGTCTTCAAGTTGGGACATCCCTCGAACCAGGGAAGATACCTTAGCTTCATAGGCTTGGTAGGCCTGCGTTTGCTATGGAATACCACAAAATGAAAAATACATTTAAGAATTAAAAAAAAAGAAAAAACAACAAACTTTGACAGTAATTCTTCTTTCTACTTTTTAGCCACAAGTCTATTTTCCCCTGTTTCAGATCACATCTCACCTGACTGATTTCCCTCTCCTGCTGGGTGACTGTATTGGAGAGGTTCCTTCGTTCTGTGTCTGAAGAGAGAAGCTCCAGGCGGATAGAGTTGTTGAGACTTTCCACCTGACGCAGCTTTTGGTCCCGTTCCACCATCTCAGACTGAGCCATCCTGTACTGTTCCATCAAGTTCCTGTTCTCCTGCTCCTGCCAGTCAAACACTCTGTTAATTTGGTATGGGTGGCCAAACACATGAATGAAGTGTGTTTGCAGTTACAGTTGAGTCACCACCAGCGAGTGCCAGTAGTCACGCAGCAAATAAAACAGCTCGCCTTTGTGGCCATCAGCTTCTCAATTTTTGCCACTTCTGTGATGTAAGAGTGGACCCTCAGTTTCAGGTCGTCCTTCTCATGCATGGCCTGTTGCATCTCTACGTGTACAGCCTGATTAAAATTATACAAAATTAGTTGATACTTTACTCAATATATTTTGTTGTTGTTGTTGTTATGCAAAGGTTTCATTACGTACCTGGTTTTCTCTGGTCATTGTGACCAAGTCGTCTTTTAGTCTCCTGTTCTCTTGCACTGTGAGTTCCCTCTCTCTCCTGATTCCTGACAGCTCGTCCTGAGAGGCGTCCAGTTGTCTCCTCAGACTACTTATTTCTCTCTCTCGGCTTTTTAAAGCACCTTTTAGCTGACTGAAGAAGCACATTATGTTAGTGTTTAGTAAAAAACAACAACAAAAGAATAGTTGTGAGACAATGATTCTTACGTCAATGAATTGTTCAAGTTCACAACTGTTACTCTGGCATCTTTTAGGATGTTTTCCTGTGAAAATGCAGAGTAAATGACCAGCCATGACACAGAAGTGATTATAGTGATTTTTCTTTCCTGTTCACATATTTTTTGTAAATATTATTTTGACAGATTACCTTCTTAGTCAGCTCATCCTGGAGAGCAACCAGCTTTTCTGTCTTTTGGTCTACATCATCCTGCAGAGCATCCTTCTCTTTATCTATGGTGGAGATGGCCTTCTGAAGCGCTGAAATTTCCTCCTTGTGTTTTGGGCCGTACTTACTCATCTCCACTGAGACAGACAAAACAAATTCAGTCAACAAAAACACAGTGAGGGGAAAGAAACAACTGTCCCAAAATACAACAGCCTCAAACATGAAGCTAAAATCCACAGATTTTTACCTATTCTTTCTTCTAGTTTCTCAATTTGTTCATGGGCATCATGGAGCTCATTCATCTTCACTGAAAGCCTGTGCTTGGTGTCAGCAAGAGACTGTTCCATCTGTTGTTGAAGCAACCTACAAATGATAATAATAGCAATAACAACATCAAAAGAAATAAAAAAGTATATGAAAGGTTAGGGACATGTCATTTTTTCTATATATACTAATTTGTATCCTTAAAAAACTTTATTTACAAGTACAGAAACTGCGAATAATTTTTGCAATTAACCAAACACATGTTGTAATATAAATGTATATAAACTGTCAGTTAATCCACAACAATCTATTCACTGTTTCTACTGTGCAGGTACTTTTCTTTTGAAGGTGTTGAAGCTGCCATTCTTGTTTTGTTCTGTATTCTTTCTGTATTAATAGTATAGTATAGTATTATCATAATTACCAGGCAAATAAAATAAAATGTGTGTTTTTGAAAACAATGTTTCATCCTCTACAGATGCTAAGTCACTGCCATCCCCTTTTTATATTCATTAGAGTGGGTTTTAAGAAGGATTCATGAAGAGGAAGTTATACTGTGCCAGAATGTGGATGTCAAAAGAAAAACAAAGAAAAAGAAGCCAGGTCACTCTGGACTGCCACCAAGTTTGTCAGATGACAAGGACATTTATATGAGAGTTCCTCAGGTTATGACTTGGCACAAATAGAATGAAAGGAAAACTAAACTTTGTTACGATTATCAAAAGTTAAACCATAAAATCTACCTGTCAACAGGACAAATCTCAGTGGTTTCTGAAGAGTTTGCAGGAATCACTAAGTCATCACTGTGACATTACTATTATAATAACATCGTTTTAGATCCATGTATCCAGCACACACCTCAGCACAGCATTGCTCTCGTCTCTCTGCTGAACGGCCTCCTCTTGATTCTGGACCAGAGTAGCTGACTGCACCTTCAGCTCCTCTTCTACTGTTTTCCTACTCTCCTTCAACAGACTCACCTGTGAGTGTAGCTCCAGTTTCTCCTTCTCCAACTACACCAACAGAAAATAAGATTCAGAGGACAAAAAAGCTTTATAAAGAGCTCACTCTTGCCATTTGTTTTGCTATTTTAAATGAATAAACACAACACACTTACAAGTTTAACAGCATTCTCAAGGTCAAAGATTCTTTGGACATCAACATGTCTGTCTGTGAGAGCTGAAGTCTGGGTTATCTGCAAAATGTTTGGAAATATAACTGATGACAAGTCAATTCAACTGTTATATACACTATATATATTTTATTTCTTGACCTTCACCAACCTTTAACCTTTCAAACAGCGTGTCTTTTTCAATGCTCATCTGTTCAATTTTCATTTCTGCCTTTTTTAACTCATCCTGCAAAATTCGCAAATCAGCTGACTTCTTCATGCTTTGGCTCAGCTTCAAGTCCTCCTGGGCCTGAACAAAAAACAAACAGTGCTTCAACTTTCACCTGCATCTCTTTAAAAAATAAATTACATTAAAATTCACATCTGGTAATACAAGTATTTTGAATCTCACCTTTTTCATTTGAATCTTGAAATGGTCTCTTTCGGTGCAAAGAGCCTTGGCATTGTTTTGGATTTCCTCAACATGCTTCTCAAAGTCCAGGAGAGCCACCTTCAGCTCATCTCTTTCCTTCATCACACGAAACAGTTCTGCCTCTGAAGCACCTGCCTAATAATTTGCAGTAATAAAATTGTAATGTGAATTATTTTTCTGTCAATTTTGATGATAATGTTTTAAGATTTTTAAAAATGAATTGTGACAATTTTGTCAATATTTCTTACCCTTTTCACTTTGGACATTGGACTACATTTGGCTGAGCTACGACTTGGGCTCAACTCCAAGCCGCTGGCTCTTTTGTAGCGCTCGGCCTCCTGGCGATAAAAATCCCTCTCCTCCTCTAGACTCTTGACAAATGCATCTAGACGAGATGGGGAGCGTTCCCTTCCACAAATGCCATGTTTGACTCGCATTGTCTCCAGCTCCAGTACCAGTTCTTTTTCTAGACAATGACACATGACAATATTTGATCAGTTTAAGAAGTTGGAAGATTTCCAAAAACCAAGCTACAATAAACTGATGCTCACCAAATAACATCATTTTATCTAATTTATGCTGCAGCCTGATCTTATCTTCCTCCGTGCAATTCACCATTTCCTCCATTTTGCTATTTTGCTCCTTAAGGTCCACAAGCTGATCATGAAGACGTTTTTTTTCAAAGCCATCTATGGACTGTTCCTAAGGGCAAATAATTAAAAAAGGTGAGGTGAGTTGGTGGTAAGAGAAAACATAAGACAATAAGGACATTTCTTTTGGCAACGAACCTAATACCTTTCTTGTTTGTGAAACACTATCTTCCAAGTCTTGAATTATTTTCTGTTGTTTCTGAATTTCTTTCTGTTGAGGAAACAATGCAACATATTATTATACCCTCATTCCTGTCACATTTAAACTCATACACATGCACTGGAATGAAGGATATTTAAATTAATTTTCATTGTCTCACTTTGGCTTCTTGTAGTTCCACATGAGCCGTTTCCAACATGTGTTCTTTATCCATCTCTAGCTGTTTTGCCAGGTCATCAATGTGTGTAAGTTCTTCACACAGTTCTAGATTCTTCACAGACAGGTTCGCCACTTCCTCTGAGGCGTCTATCTTCTTCTGTTGCAGTTCATCTACTTTGTGCTTTAGGGTCCTGTTTGTCTCCTGCAGGTACTCAATCTGTGTAGCACAAGGTAGCAAGTAATGAGAAATAGATTGTTTCCAGTGGTGTTATTACATTTTTTTTTTACAATTAATTAAGAGACAACAAAACTTGCCTGGAGGTTAAGATGAGAAATCAGTTTCTCGTTGCTGACGTTCTGAGCCTCTAAAGAAATAACATCATGAGGTCGACCTCCGTGGAGAACATGATTCAGTCGCTTGATTTCTTTGTCCCTGTTTTCCACCTATTATGAAAAAAGGTCAACAGAAAAGCAACCCCATAAAACTGACCACTATGTTAATGTTCGACATGTTTAAATTGCATTTCAGTAGTCAAATAACTTATTACCTGTGTGTTTAAGTGCTTTGCATATTCCTCAGAGTTTTCCAGTTCCAGTTTGACTTTCAGAATTTCTTCCTGCAGCTCATTAATTCTACAACGTAAAAACAGCAGTCAGGTAAACACAAAAAGGTGTATGTAAGCATCTCCAGTTTAGGGGATTTATAAGTATACCAACCTCCTATCTGCTATCTGGAGTAGGTCAGCTATGTAGGGATCATCAGGCTGCAACACAGGGTAGGACGATGTTGATGAAGGCGGTAAGTGTTCGTCAATCTGCATTCTCTGACGTCTGAAAGGAATACTGTGTTTCTTCCCACCTGAATATCACGGTTAGGGACTGTTTTAAAAAATAATCTAATTTGATGTCCACAAAACATGTATATATTTAAATGAAGAAAGGTATACTAATAGCTGCAAGCGTAAACGTGACCTAAATATTTAATACAACTTGTGCATGTGAACCTGAACACCTTGGCATTTACCTGGAGTCTGCACTACGGCTTGCATGTTCTTTTCTTGCAACTGCTGAATACGCTCAGTTTTTGCCTTGCTGTCCTTCTCCAGGCAACGAACCTTGTGAACATACTGATTGTTTAAAAACTTCAGGTCAGATGTTTCATGGTCGAGTTTTCTGATGCGAGTCTTGAGCTCTGGAAAAATAAAAAAAGAAGAAAGTATTGTATTGTATAGTATTTCTATCCACAGTACAACAGCTAATCACATGATCATGAGTCATCATACAGTAGTCATCACTTTGACAGTTGCTATTGATACCATTTAATTTTGATCAGATTTCTTGGAATTGATTAAAAAAATTGACCAACATTTTAGACCTTAAACACAAAATCTAGTGTTGTTGTAAAGTTTGTGGTGGGACTTTGTGGTCATCCTCACTATTTACCTTTGGTAAGTCGATCCTTCTCCTCCTTTAGCTTCATAAGGTCAAGATGCAGCTCATTGTTCTCTCTGATCACCCGTGCATTCTCCGTCTTATATGGTTCTAGAACGGAATCAAGGTTCTGGCTTTCTTTCTCATTTTTCCCTGCTGACAGTTTGGCACTGCGAAGGCTCTCTGTTGTGTGAACCAAGTCACTGTAAAACAAAGGAAGATCTATTTTTTGGTACCATCCATTCATTAACAGCCACTGACCAGTATAGGTATATGCAGAGCTATGAATTTGGTCCTGATGTCAATGAATGAAACGTGAGCAAAACCATTTTAAAGGCATGGGGTGGCGTTTGAACCAGTGTGAAATTGTGTTTGTATGTGTGTTTCACCTGAACAGCTTCTCCACCAATGGCAGCGACTCTATTGCTAGTGGCTGTCGGTAACCCAACTGATCCAGACGTTTCCTTAAGTTAATGTACTTCCTCTCTGCGTTGCTCGCCATGGCTTTGATGTGGCACTAAACTTATAATAGCATAATATGGCATTCGCATTAACCGGCAAACCAAGACACTATTACTGAAGTCCTGCGTTACTTACAAACATTATAAATCTCCAATTATAGTAATGTTTAGTTAAACTAGCTAACATGTTTGCTGTAGCTAATAAACAAAATTTAGCATTCTGTGCATTTATCATGAACTACACATTAACCGGGTCTTATATGCCCCACTAACCTACTTCCACGTCACAGTTTAGCTATTGTAAACCAATAACGCAGCATTTCGAGGAACGTACGGTTGACAGTAACGGTAGCTTTCGTTAGCTTTACCAACGTCAACTCCACACTACATCTTCGACTTACGACGAACAAAAAAGAATAGTGTCCATTAAATTATTCCATTTGCAGTCGGGTATAATCACAAAATATACTACTTCGAGAGTATGTGTTTCCCCGTAGAGTTTGAAAGAAGCGCCGTTTATCTCGAGCTTGGATTCGTCGCTATGGAAGTAGATGAGACACACAGTCAAACCTCCGTGGCGGCTTGTTTTGTAAACCTCGGTGCCCGCACATTTACTGAGGGCGGGGTTGCCATAGTTTAGAGGACTCGTTTTGTGCGTTTTTTTAAAAAAGAAATAATGATTTTAATATGTACATATCCGCCCAACTATCAAACACGATAAAGACATTTTCAAATTACCATAAACATTATTAAGATTAAAATGTAAACGCGCTCCAAATTACATTTTCAACACTGCACTTTGACAAAAAATGTGTATTTTAGGGTATAATTCTATATTGTTTAACAGTCAGTCAGAGCCTTACAATAAAAGGCTGACACAGCTCTGGACCACACCACATAAGACCTAAACCAATATTGATCTGTAGGATGTACTGCAGTGTTTAAACATATTTAAACAATTCATTGTGTGTGCAGCAATTTAATAAATCCAATTAATTATTTTTAATTGTTAACATATATGGTGCTTTCAGTTTTCATTCATAAATCATTAAGTCCAGCATTTAAAGGGGCAGTGGTGGTCCCAAGTCCACTTGACTTGGGTCCTGAAGGATTCAGGTTCAAGTCCACCAGCTGCCAAGTTACCATTGAGGTGCTCTGAGCAGGGCACTGTCCCCACACACTGGCCCCCGGGCGCCTAAAGCTGCCCACTGTTCACTTTGGTGATGGGTTGACATTTCGTTGTGTGCTGTGTCACAATGACAAGTAGTTCACGTTCCTTGAAGGTTGACATATGCAAATTTATTATGTACGTATGGCATGGAGAAATAAAAGTAAAATGCAAAAAATATTTAGTGCAGAGTTCTTCTGTCTTCAAAACAGGAACAAACTCAATGTAGAGATATCTGCATCACTGGGCAATGTACACATTTCATTAAAACAAACACAGAGAAAGTTTTTTAACATTTGAAAAGCTTGTTAGAAGCTTGTGTTCAGCAAGTATGAAGCAGTAGTGAATTACTAAATTCCAGTGCATTACAGAAGAACTAATGAGACTGGGCAATGCTAGAGAAGTACTCCAGCATGTCCTGTATGGTAAACTCCATGGTTATACTAGATCCAGGATAGCACCTGCCAATCAAATCTTCAAAGTGCTTGTACTGCCGTATGAACTCATCTTGCATGGAGTGCCACACCACCTAAATGAAACAAGAGAACAATAACAAGGGGTTTAAATGCAGTGTAAAGAATGTGTCACTACAGACCAATTTGTTCTCCTGAGACTTGGAATTTCTCACCTGAAGCAGACTCTCCTCCTCACACAAGTGCTTATCTACCTTCTTGTAAAGGTTGTCTAGCCCCTTTTTCACCTCTTTGCCAGGATACTCCTTTATTACTTTGCGGAGCTCTTGTTTGTTAAAGGCCAGCTGGTAGCTCACCTCCTCCTCACGAACACCCTGAGCTACGCGTGCCTCTACTCCTTCAAAGAAATGCTGCAACAGAGTGGAAAATAAACACCATGAAAGCTAAATTTAAAGGTCAATAGAGTAACTGTGTTCCTCTTACATTAAGTTTTTCCAGTGGCTGTCCCAGGGAGTTGATGACGTAGGACTGCAGATGGTCGGTGTATTTGTGCTTCGCTTCCCGTCTCTCTGTGTCTAAGCAGGAGATCTTTAGACGTGACAGTGTGGAAAAGATGTGGTGGAAATTCTCCATCATCACAACGTCTCGAGGAGTCTTCTGGCTTTCGCTGGCCACCTTTTCCACTGGAGAAGCAGTCATCTAAGAACTTGAAATGTTCGACAAAACAGCCAGTCTCTGTTGTTAGGATAATAAGTGGTCTTACCATTCACGAAGACAGCCCTTATAAGTTTGACATAAGCTTTGTCCAGATCACCGCGACGTTCTGCATTACGAAAGATGGTTTCAGCTAGCTCTGCAAAGTCCTCAAATCCAACCACAAAAGCTAGAATACCGACTTTGCTTTTCTTTGAAATCTTAACTTCCTCCATTTGTCTGATTTGACCAGACTGCAAAAAAGGAGAATTATTTTTACTTAGGGATCCATATATTTTTTACTATATATTGACAAATATGAAAAGAGGATTCGACTTACAATGCATTTGTCAAAGTTCCGTTTGACAGTGACCAGTACATTTCCCAGCGTAGTGCTAAGGAACGAGGCCGGGTCGACATTTTCAGCCGTCCACACATGGTGACTCATCTTCACCAGCATATACAGAGAATTAAAGCTGTCAATCTTGTCACCAAGTGCAATGAGACTGTTGAGCTCCGTCTCAATGCTCTGGAAGATTTTATTCATCATCAGTCGCACCAGATCTTTCCTTTAGACAAAATATGATTTTGTTAAAGGCTGCTGAGAGTGGGTGAATATACACTGGTGCACAGAAAACATTTGGCTCTGAGAATTGGTAATATTTGTAGTCGATCTGGGAGTACGTAATGTTAGTACTCACTCTGATGAAAAGGACTGTCTGTGTTCTGTCTGTGGAGGCTGTCTTGATGGAATTCCTCCATCTGATTCCTCTGCTTCAGGCTGTGAGGACACCGGACAACAAACATAACATATCCAATTGAATGTGTGCTACTGGTCCATCAACACATTTGAAGAGGAGAAGCCATTTGTTGTTCCACTTATTCTACAGCTAATTGCAGTGATGCGATCATAGACCCACCTGAGCAAGTGGAGGTGAAACTGTTTGATGCTGTTGCAGTTTAAAGAACTTGCTGATGAAGTCTTGTTCTGCGAGGCAGAGAGGCTCCAGCTCACTGAGGACTTGCTCAAATATCTGCACGCAAGAAAAAAAACCCAAAATACAATATTTGTGTCACAGTACAGAAAATTACATCACCTATTTATTTCAATTATAAAATCCACCAACAATGCTACCTTGTCAAACTTGGTTCTGTCAGCAACATCCAGGTCAGAAGCAGACATGTTGCCCATGTCCAGCAGTGAGGAAGACTGGGAGCGCCGACTGTTTGAGGTCTGCACTGTCAGTTTGTTAAGGCTGGAGGTGGATCCTGTCAGCTTCCCAGAGCTGCCATGAAGGCCTAAGAAAGCACAGTAAACACTGTTAAACCAAGTTTTTAGAGATAGCATTGCAAGTGCTGATATTAAGAAACTATGTGGATACAAACATAAAAAGGCTGGTAAACAATGATATATAATATAGAAGGAGCTTGAGAAACTTTAGGTGAAATAATAGCTGTTTGGATAATGAAAATCTTTATCCAGACTTAGTCATACTTACTTTCTGTTTCCTGTTTGAGTGCACTTTCTTTCCGCGGAAGCGTAGCTGCAGCCAGTTAACAAGGGCAGGCATCAAAGACAGAGACAGGTTAGGCTTAAAAACATGCAGCATGGAAGAAGTGAGGCTTGATGTTAGACGTACAAAGTTACACTGCTGCTGACATGCAATTGCATTAGCTTCAGACAAACCTTTGGAAAATATGTTTTTTTCCAAAAATGTTAACACAGAGTGAGAAAAGCTGCGTTCAGTAAATATATCAAAACAACGGACGACCTCAGAGTACTATCAAAATACCAAAGAGTACAGAATTTGTTTTGTGCAAACAGAAGTTGAAATGTTAATAAAGTAAAACAAAGAGCAAGACTGAGAATATACATTCATACTGGAAATAAAAATGAGCTTTAGAAATGTGTTTTTTGGTAACTGTGCAGTAAATAGAAGGGCAAAGGTGGTTTATTTTTAGATAAAGAATATTTCATTTACAGCTGTATAACAGAGTAATGCAAATATTGTATAGAAACAATCCAACAAATGAAGAGAGAGATCCCTTTCCTACAACAAAACTGTACCTGAAAATCACCAAAACATTTTTTTAACACTGTTAAACAGGGACAACAGACTCGTATCCAAAGTGACAGCTCTTACCAAACTTTCCCTTCGCCTCCTTGGTGGTGCCGGCCATTTTTGTCTTGGCAACCTCGAAAAAGTCTTTGATTTCTCTTTCATACAGTCTGCTCATATAGTCCACGTAGGTCTAAAACAGATAATGTGCTTACCTATATTAAATATGTATATATTTGAAATCATGCATTTCTCAAGTAGTAGCAGATGAGAATTTCAAACGAGACTACAGGCAACGGTAAACGTCACATGTATGAATAAAACCCCCAATATCCAAACTACTCCACACTGACTAAACACATTCAACACTTCTTAAAGTCACACCTAAAAACACAACAGATTTATACATGAAATTGACTGACCCTCGACAAGCCTTCGTACTTCTCCCTGTGAGTATTCTTTAGCCACTCCATGAGCTTGGCGTAGCGCAGCAGGTCTCTGTGTAGGGGGCTGTGTTTGGGCAGAGTCAGTTCTGCTGTGTTCTGTGACAGGGTGGAGCTCTGGTCATGGCCCTGGATGATGGAGTCAGGAGTGAGAAGAAAAAGTTGCTTTTCATCAATTTGACAAGTTAATATAGACAATGTCAAAACTCAAATATCTCACTTTCTTTGTCACAAACACACTTTGCACTGAGAGCTTATCTCGCTTTGTAACATAAACACGAGAACAGGATACATTTCCATAAATTAGCAAATATTGTTATTTTTAAGGTTAAGCAAGAAAGAAATCTTTAAAAAAAACAAAAACACATGACTCCTCTTGCCACATGGATAACCTCTTCACTTCCTCTGGCTTATTAAGGCTCTAGTGCTTTAACCAGGGGACATGCACCAAGAGCAGACAGGCACAGGTAGTAATGGTTTTATGTCATCTCTTGCAACCAAGCCATGTTAGCACCTAAACATAAACATCCTTAGCTCAGTGCAGATCGTTGGTGAAGAAGGAAACAGATCAATGGCGTTCCTTTACCCATGACCTCACATGTGAGATGTCTGGATGTTAGAAACATTCCATGCAAGAAATGATGGAAGGCTTTGGTGTTTCAAGTTGTTGGGAATGATGTGAGCAGAGTCAGTTGTTAGAGAAGGAGGGGAGTGCTGCGGCTGCTGTGAGGGTACTCACGGGAAGTGATAGACAGGAAGACCTATAGAACTGAGGGATGGTCATTTTGAAGTGACTGAAGTGGTTGAACTGACACAGAGACAGAGAACAGAGCGGGATGATTCAGAGCCGAGATTAGGAGGAACACGTGTGGAAGGAAACAAAGGAGTGAAGCCCAAAAGATCAGCTAAACAGCGAGA